TAATATATTTTATTAGCTTATCTCTCTGTACAGAGAGAAAAAAAAAAAAAAAAAAAAGAAAAGAAAAAAAAAATATATAGCAAAGGGGAGGAGGGAGGGGGGGATTTCCGTCCCACTTGGGTCGTGATGTCATCGCTGTCAACTCGGGAGAGATCCCCGGCAAGCTGAAGCAAGCAGACAAAAATAGTGAATGAAGGTACCGGGAAGGTGGATGGCAGTTACTACTGGATCAATCTTATAGGGTAGGGATATACGAGGAAGAACTATATATAAAGGTAGTGGTGGTGGTAGTGATCAATATCTGCATACTTTGTGATTGAGATTCAAGTCGAAACCATAAACAAAATTTCATATCACGGTGATTGTCTCATTGACAATAACATAACTATCATCATCTCACCTCTCATTCCATCCCACATCCACATCCAAAAGTATCCAAATCCAAATCCAAATCCATCATGCCAGTCGTTCCTTCGCTGAAAGACACCCCATTCGACACCGACATTCGCGACCGTCATTTGATATATGATTACGCGGCGCAGGACGCCCAAGGAAACCCGGAGAAATGGCGCTACGAAATGTGGTTTTATAACGAGGACCGCATCGTCTATGCCATCCATGGCGGTCCCATGGCCGGCCGCAAGAACTTTCAAACGGCCACGTACCAGTGCATTCGACCGGGCGAGCTTTGGCAGTGCAATTGGCTTGAGGAGACCGGTACCATATGTTCGCTGGTGTACGACATTCCGCGGAAGCGCATCACCACGTTGCTGGGCTTCTCCAAGGGACATTGGGAGGAAGCGGAGGCGGCTCACGGCGACAAGCGGAATGCGAAGGATCTGGAAAGATGGAGAGGGTTGGCCACGATTGGCAAGCAGACGGATCGGAAGCTACTGAGTGAACAAGCAGACATCCTGGAGGATTTCCGAGGCCCTGGTGATTTGGAGCCGATTGACATGGAATGGCCGACATTATAGGCGAGGCAAGATTGTGGGAACGTACGCACCGCAAGAGGGGTTATGCGGTTGAATGAGGATTGATTATAGGAGTAAGGGGGTTTAGTATGGTGGTTATTTGAAATGGTATTCTATTTTGTGCTTAGTTCGCAGATATCTGGTATACCCTTTAGAATTTTGACGTTTCACTAGCAATCATGCAATGCTTGGCTCGTTTAGGTCTTTCTTTCATTTGGGTGTATATGGGTTACCCCTTTTTGTGCATCTGTATTAATCCACCGGGGTTCACGGAGGGGAAAGAAGTCGGTCGGATTCTAGAAGACATCAGGTGTCGGGAGCCGAGTCATCATCCGTGACCGTTGGCCTTTCCCTCAGATGTCTTCGCAGCGGTATATCTCACAGCAGCTGACCTCTCAATGACTGACGGGATTATTCACGTCTGTCGCAGTATTATGTCACCAATCTTCGGGTGCCTCAGTTCTTCCTGTCGAAGTGCATCACAGAGCTGTGTCATATAATGTCGGGTAAGGGTGGGCACCCTGCTGTTCGTCGAAATCAACCCAGGTCAGGCACAGCTCGTGCCGAGAAATCTCAGTCAATGTGAGATATTTCTGGTGTAATAAGATAGTTGGTGGGTGATTTCCAAAATTGTGACGGGCATATTCCTTGCGTTCATTCTTGTCGGTTTATTTGCCAGAAAGGCAGGGTGAATCATAGGTCAGGAACCTTGACTTGACGACGAACTACCCGAAGACGGGGCCTGAGTGCAAACGAGCTCTAATTGTATATCGTCCACATATTTGGGGGGATGGCCGTTGTAGGATGGAGCTCTGCTAATAATGGCAACTGCAACTTGAGCTGCTTGGTCATTGGCAGTCATGTTATCAATGAACCAAGTCTTCCACGGTTCACTGCTAGACCCGGACGTTTGGAGGGTTGCAATTCGTGTGATATCGGTTTCTTGAGCAAAAGCTTTCTTTAGTCAGTAAATGAGACTCAATAAGCAACAGGTAAAACAAACACCGGAGCGAACATACAAATAGAGGGAATGGCAGCGACGTCGAATAGAGGTGGAGGGCAATTGGAGAGTACGGGCTGGTTGATGAGCATCTCACTCAAAACCGTATCCAGAGGATCATCGTAGTAACTTCCACTGGTGGTGAGTCCAAACAAGGCCTGCTTCAACAAAGTGATCAAGTCGTACGAGCACTGTGCGCCCCACACGCCATCGCAGCCATTGTTGGAACCTGACGGCGTTCCGGTAAGATTTCCCACCCGCAAGGCAATCTCGGAGGTGCGGTTGGAGTTGATAACAGAGTTATTGAGATGAGCACTGTATCCAAGCCAGAAGCTGACTTTAGTCATAGGTTCCTGGCCTTTTCCTCGAGAGTTGGCATCGAATCCATAGTATAGGTTGAGGCTCTCCTCAAACAGAGGCGGGAAGTTGAAGGAGACGGCAGTCTGTGCCAGGGCATCAAGACAGCTACCGCTCCAAAATGAGCAAAACTGAGCTATTGCGGGAGATCCAAAAACAAGCAATAGAACGAAGGCATGTACACAAGATCGGAGGATTGCCCCCATTCCAAAAGGGCCGGCCATTTGGTACCACGAACGGTCGGAAATCGTGCTGAGAAGAGAGACCGATCTGCTTCACAGACACAATAATGATTTAATGGGATCCGTTGAGCGGGTGAAGACCATGCTCATAACCGTGGTTCGGTGTATATCAAGGTCGATTAACAGGCGGTGGGATAGGTGGTCGCTTGGAAATGGTCAGGGTCGGGAGGCGGTCGCCTGAATCATGCCAGAACTAGAATTGCTATAAACGCATAAAAGGCGCGGAACAAGACGGATTCGCAAAAGTCCAAAGCTGTCGTGTAATATTCTCCAAAGTGTATAAAACGAGTTCAATTCGGTTATTCGCTTGTTATGGACAGTCGATATGTGTAGGGTTATTCGCGTTCGCAGCCGCGACGATCGGGTGCAGGAGTCGCGACAGACAGGGCGGCAGGCTGACGGCTTATCGGTAGATATGGTAGGGAGGTAAAGGAGGTACTCGTTCAGAATTGAAGGATACTTGAAGGTTATCAAGTCAAGGCTGGAAGAACAGACCGGGCCGTGGGGAGTCTGGCGGTTGGCAGACTGCTCAAATTGTCCCTGGCGCCAGGGCCTCTGTTAGAAATGATAGGGAGGGGGTGGTGGTGGTGGTGGTGGGAGGTGATGAGCGACGGTCAATGATGGGTGTGTACGGAGCGACAGGGGCCGATGGTCGGTTGCGGAGAAGGAATCAACCAGAGGTATTTAGCCAGAGAGAGTGTGTGAGAGAGGGGGTAAGCATAAGGTAATCAGGGTGTGATTGCCAGTAGAGAGAGGGAGAGTGAGTGAATTAGTTAGCAGTAGTGAGGAATTGGAGGTCAAGTCGGAAGGAGTAGTAGTAGTATGATGCTGCTCCGTCCTGGACAGATTATTCTTTTCTTGCCAGGGCGAGTTGGACTGTCTTGCCCGTGAAACAAGGCGTGTGGATACGCATGGGGATTGGTCCAAGGTGCCTGGCTTTCGGTGACTCCCTGACTTCCCAGAATCCTCGAGGCATTCTTGGCGCTGCCCGGTCACCGACGCTAACTGGCAGCCCCCGCATACCTTGTGCCGAATGCGGTAATTCCGGAGGGTAATCCCGCCCAGGGTCGCAGCAGGGAGCCAGTCACAGGGCCCATTCACCACATATTTCGGGACTGGCGCCGCTCCTCCTCTCTCCTCAGGGGCCAATAGACTCGCTTATGTTCCAGCCACCATCGTAACTAGGAGGTTAGGTGGTATTTTATTTTCTTTCTTCCCACGCCCAGTGACGGTCAGAAAACGCGTCTTGAGCTAAATACTTACTGAGTAACTAATTATCTAGCTGTGCGCCTGGTGAGATTTCCTTTCTGACTCAGGGTCCAAGTTGTCTCCATATAACTAGCTAACCAACAAGACATTAGTAGTTAATCTGTAGTGCTGATGAGCAGCGTCGGTGTGAACCCGCTCAGACTGCTGTCCTGTGTACGGTCGGTATCTCGTATCTCAGGTATTGTGTGGTAGTTCATACCAAGCCCCGTATTGGAACCAGCGTTTGAGATGATTTCTTCTGATTATTTTTATGATTATTATCCTTATTCTTTACGGTTTGGGAAACACTATGATCTTCCGGTTTCAGGGTCTGGTCACTCAATCCGACTAATAATATTACTTATCTAATATCTACCTGACTATAGTGGCCGGTAGCGGGTCCTAATCACCAACTGGTGATAAATTACAATATCTTTTTTTGGGACGCTAACTAAAACGCTTTTGGCTTTTTTCCACCATCATCCGGACCCTCCGGTGACATCGAGAATGCTTCAAGACCTGCCTTTCGACTCATTCGGAGCTCCTTCCGAACACATATGCTCGATGATTTGTCCATCTCCATTTCCCACTTTTCGAGGAAGTAGTCAAGGCTCAACACATTGGTCTCACCAACCCCCAATAATCAATTCCCTGAGAGCATAACAGTACAGTACAGTAGATCGGATAAAGTCTGCTCGCAGGGGGATATTGAAGGACCGGCACATTTAATCTACACTTTACAGTGGACAGCTTGTGAATGATTATTGACACTTCGGCCGAATTGTCCACTAACCCAATTTGGTCCTGTCGCCCGTGAACTTTTCTGGCCTTACTTTCATCAATCCCTCGTGTTCTGCGGTAAACGTCGAACAAGCTTTTTTCATCCATCTGATAGTAGTTTATAGGAGAATTCTGCAGAACCCTGCTGAGCTGTTGGATAAGCTACACTAGCAATTGTGGATGACTACCAGCGTGTGTTCAGGTCTCACGATTCTTTCGGCCTCGGATCCGCCTACTCAGTTCGTACATAACGGTTCCCGAAACTGCCAAAGACTAGATGCTCTCAGTCTAATACCTGGTATTTCCCATTAACCCACTCACTCACGCCTCGATTACTATGTTTCTGGGACAGATTAATTTACCCCAAGTACGGTGAGTTTGCCAATATCTGAGCAGTCAATGGTTATATGCCAACCGCACGTGGCTAGCCGTATCGGCATATTGGCCTTTCCCTCGTCTACTACTAGTATAGTATTGCTTTTGCCAATCAATGCGCCCGGTCTCGGAGGTTTTTTGCTGCATGGCGCGTTGTGATAAACACCTACTCGAACAAGCATGGCTAGAATATAGTGAGTTCAGCGATACAGCCCAGAGCTCAGGCCATGCCCGCAGGGTCTCGTTGTAACGAGACACGGACTCAACACGGATAAATGTCGGATGTCCGAACACCCTTGATTTCGTTATGCTTTAGGTCAAGTGTGATGGTTGCCGGAGGAGTCACTCTGAAGCACGCCGCTGGTAGGGAGAGGCCCAGATATCGCACCAATGGTATTGGGGGATGGCCCATAGGCCAATTAATCAGAGTGATATTATCGGAATAGGTGAAGTGAGGTGAGGTTATTAAGTGTCCATACAGCTAGCCAGCAAGACAAGCTGACCCGAGGCTAGCTATACCCTATCATGGCTTTCCCAAATTCTCGGCATAATCATGAATGCCAACGAGCTATAGATTTACCTTTTGATCTACAGGATGGTTGAGCGTGGCTGGTGATCCTACCAAAGCTACTGTAGCGGTAGCTGCCGATGTTACCAGCTATCAGAACCAAGCGACTCAAGACGTCAACTTTTGTATCATATGCTACTACAATGCCAATCATCCACTCTATCCGATAGATGAGACGATGTCTGGAACGGTAGACCGTTTTCCATTGCAAAAGCTCAAAGAGGGGGTTTGTTGATTGTCGGAGAACCGTTAGTTAGCCTGACCGATACGACTAGCGCGGTCCCTCGGAGAGATCCACTTTCCCTTCAGTAATTACTATACTAGTGGTCCCTGATACACTCACTCGACTCAACTCACAGGCACACCACACTAGTAGCCATCTACTAAACTAACAGTACTAAAGTAGCCTGCCCAACTTAGCGTCTTAGCCAGCGAAGTCCCTGATTTCCCTGCCTTCCCCCTGTTGCGATGGGGTTCGACCGACAGAAATAATTCCATCCAATGGTTAGTTAGTTAGCTAGACAGTACTTACTAGTGGATTTCTCGGGGTTGCACTTTTGGGGTTCTTTTCGACCTTCGTAGCTAAGAAACAAGGGCCACTAGTGGCCGCTATGAAGATTTCCGAGCAATGAGCACTGTTCCTTGAATGGAACCCCCGAAATTAATTTCATTTGGGTTTGTTGCTTTTTCGCTCAACACCCCCACCTCTCTCTCTCGGGCTCTCTCTCTCTTCATAGCTCATCTCATCGTGTGCTGTTGTTGGGTCGGCTATTGCCGCTGTTGCCACCAGTGGGTAGGTGGGTAGGATTTGGTTTTTGGGTTCGCTTTCGCTTGCGGAAAAAGTCTCTGTTTGTATGCATGCATGCAATGTACGTAGGTAGCGATCGATTGCATACCATTTTCACTTTCTTTCATTCTTCATTCATCACTTGGTACACACACTCACACGTCTGTACAGTAAGAAGAGGCGTGTGATATGTCTACTACCTCACTACTCCAGTATGAAGTGGTCAGACACTGCTTATCTCACTGCAAGTGGACAGGCAGAGAAATAGAACAGGGAAATAACTTATTCCAAGCATTCCGTCCTCCCCAAAAGAGCTTGTGATGGGTCTCAGTTTACCCTAATTGGAAAAGGACAAAAAAGAAAAAGAAGAAAACCAAGACCCTCGGTGGCGGCTTTTTTGATTACTTCCCATGTGGAATCAACCCCAAGCCAAATCAGTCACCAGTGACACTTCCTTTTTCCCTTTCTCACTAGATAGTAGTGTGAACTAACACTAACTTGGACTGAAATTGATCCCTGGTTTTTAGAGCCACCATCAGTAGTACTTACTACTTTAGTGTCTACCACTAACTAACCAACCAACCCGGCACCAACCCGAGGGGCCCAAGCGGCCAGTAAATACCAAGTAGTCAAGATAGCAGCACTACTCCGTCACTTCGTAGAATTTGACTATTGTTTCGAATTCGCTGCCTACCAATTTCCTCTCTCAACTAAACTAACTAACTATGATGTCTTTCCAAAGAAGGAGGTGGGGTTGGGGAATTTGTTCAACCCTTTTCTTTTCCCCCTTCCCTACTTAGTAGTTAGTTCCCTTTTCCCATGGACCGAAGGGATGGATGGGTGGGTAGTAGAGAAAAAATATGCAATGACATCAGTGATGCCCATCCCTGATCACCCACGACGAACCCGCATTCCAAACATCCGCGATCTTCTCTTTTAGGGATAGTCTGAATGCATCATTTCTACTACATACTACATACTTACAGAGTAGGAGGCACACACACACACTCTCTCTCTCTCTCTCTCTGTTGGTTTACTACCTACTTACTTAGTTACCATACCATGTGCAACCAACCACAGGTCGAATAGTATACTTACTTACTTACAGTCAGCCGACAATCAATTTGTTAATGTAGGTATCATTGAAATTAAAGCTATTCCATTCAAGAGAAAGGGTTCATTCATGCATTACATGCATGCACATGGAGAGCTGAGTCCTACCTACCTACTTTTACTGTACTTACCTACCCCTCTTTCATAATTCCATCTCATCTCATCCCGCTCTCCCAGGATCAGGGATCAATTAAATGAAATGCCAACCATGTATGTACGTAGTACTAACTATGCGACAATACTAATGCCTATGAGGTCATCCATCCGGAATGCCCTAAACAACTAACTCACTAACTACATTCTCCAACCATCCATCTGCCTGCCTGCCTGCCTGCCTGCCTGCACTATCTGACTGACTGACTAGCTCGCTCGCTCGGCCAACCAAAGCAAGTGGACTGGCTCTCTCTCGGGTATGCTTGCTTGCTTGCTTGCTTTGCTTGCTGCCTAGTCAGTCGCGAACCCCCTACCCATCATATCACCAAGTAACTAAAATTTAATTTATTCTATTTTATTATTAACAAACAGTTTGTTTCCAATCCATTCACAACAATACCTAAATGCCAATGGTCATTAGTAGATAGATCCATCATCCGGCTCTTGGCTGCCTAGTCAAGATAAGGGGAAAGAAAGAAAGAAGGAAGAAAACTCCTCCTGTTCTTCACACTTCCTTTCGCTTCGCTTCCGGTTCGTTCGAAGAACGAACTCATTCAGCCTCGGGATTCTCGGAAGTGCGTGGGTGGGTGGGTAGGTGACTAGGGACTCATTCCGGAATACCTTCCCCCCCTAAGTTCCTCTTCTCTTATCGTGATATTATAATCGGGGCTTAGCATGGTAGTATAGTAAGTACTACTACTACTACCTAAGTAGGTACTAAGTTCAGCAGCTGCCTAATGGTGCTAAGTTGGAGTATTTTCCCAAAAAAAAAAAAATCAATTGGACCATAGTTGATTTTTTCGGTTGGAGGTTGCCTGTGGATTCGAGCTTTGCCTTCGGATTGTCTCCCGACGTCAATTGAGTGGTTATGAAGATACCGATGGGACAGAGGGAAATATAAGGAGTCAAAGAAAACGAGATGGGGTACTCATACCCCAATTTCATATTTGCTGGGGAGTCGTAACTAAGTAGTGGGTGCTAAATACTACTATGGTACTATAACTTCCTATGTTCGTTGCTATCCCTTCGTATCCTGATAAGCACATACGAAAGGTAACAGTGCAAGTTTACGGGTTCCATCGGCAAAAGGCCCTCTATACGAGGTCGCGTGCCTTGGAGATGTCTCTCACAACCTCTTGACCTAGTCTCCCTTTGTCTGGGTTTCTTCTGCCTGATCTATAAATATAGATCCCACAGTATACCTTCATCGACGCTGCATAGTCGAGGTGTGCCTCAGTCTCTCCAGTGCTTCAGCGCGCTCTCTGAGTATTGACGCATATCCCTCGATCGTTTTCATCAACCGGCGAATCTTTTCCATTTCTCGAGCCCGATTCTTGTTCGCAATAGACACCAATTTGCGTGCCGTTTCAACCTCGGCCACCTCCATGTCTGTCAACCCACGCGTCTGGCGCGACTGATGACTGTTCTTAAGGTTCTTTGTGATGTTGGTGACCTTGGTGACAGCTTTTACGAGGGGTAACATAAATATCATGTGCGACGTAAGCCAGGAAGCATTTTCAGGTGTAGCGCCTCGATGGCCAAAGACCACGTCCATGGCCGCCGCCCGCTGCGTAAACCTCTTGAGACTATGAGCTCCCTGGGGCACCGGCGCCACGTTCTGCTCCCAGTCGAAGTACGGGAGCTTCATACCATTGCTATCCCCTTCGTTGCAGGAACGGTCACCGTTCTTAGACTTGGTGTCTTGTCTCGTCTTCATTTCCTTCCAAGTCTCATACATCCACAGCTCTTCCGATGTCAGCTGGCTCATGGCCACACTCTCCGGGTCGCTTTTCGATGGGTATGTTGCTAGTTGTAGTCCCGTGAATAGTGCGAGACTGTTTCCTTGCTCGACTATTTTAGCTAGCTCTTCAAGCTTCGTGCAAGTCGTTTGAAGATCATCCGTCTCGGTAGGCACAGGTAGGAATCTGAAACCCTCGCTTACTTGTGTACCGTCCGCAAAAGGCGTAACCGGATCTTCATATTCACGCTTCACTCCATGGCGTTCTGGTGTTATCTGAGAATCATAAACGCGTACCCCACGCGTCGGTAGTTGCCGTTCCATCTTCCGGCGCCGGGTCTAATCTATGTAGGGATTCCTGGGGTGTTTGGATGCGGACGGTCTGAAGAGACAGGAACCGAGATAGTACAACAGCTTATGAGCCAGCTGAAATAAATCGTTTCATGTTAGTTCCTGAGCAAAGGTTCATGGGCTCGTGTTTAGTCTGCAGGGGTCACACCAACTGTAATCCAGCTGTTCAAGGAGTTTCTCACGGAAAGGATACCACGTTCTGGTTCAGGTAGTGGTCACGTGCATTTCCTGACCGTTCGTCTCTGATTATTGGCCGTCGTCTCCCTGCGATCAATTGATTGCAGTCCCTGTTGGCGAGCCTCGATGGCGTCCGGCAGACTATCTCGCGGTATGTGGTTACCAGAGGATCTTTCAAGGGTGAGAGACAATCTTCCGTGAAAGGATGGTCGGGCAGAAGTCAAGATAAAGTATCAGTGAGGGAAGTGTAAACCGAACAGGGCTTTCAAAGAAAGCCAATGTGGTCGTCTTGGAAGACATGCAACTACAGGAAATAGAAGCAAGTGAAAGAAGTAAATGTGAATTGCATCGATATTGTACAGAGGTGCAACCGATTTCAGCAAGAGTATCCGACTGGCCGCCCTTTCCTAATATACACAAGGTTTTGATCCGTGACGTTTCTCGTTGTATACATGGTGAGATAATATGCAGGTGTCAAAATAGTCAGAAATTTCAGAGTATAACCCTGAATGAAAGGAAAAAGAAAAGTTTCAGAAGGGTAGGAGATTGTCCGTCAAAAGCAAGAAAGAAATGAGAATCCCCCAAAAACGCCAGAGCTCCACGCTTGAATGTCGCACATATATTTCCCGTGTTGGTCGCCTTTTCTCCAGTTCGATGAGAAGTTCGAAATCAATTGTCGTCATCTTGAATAGACGCGTGCCCATGGCCGGATAGCCAAACTCGCTTCCAGGGACCGCCCTCAGGCCCGAACGCAGCTTCCCGATCTTGACGCATCCCTTCGAGAACACCTACGATACCGCCATTGCGCAAGCGCTCAAGGACCACGTTCATACCTTGCTTACTCTTGAGCACGGCATCCCGAGTGCGGTTCAATCCAATGAGCTCAATCGTGCGTTGGATTCCCGCAGTGGACAAGGAGGTGAAAAGGCCTCTTTTTGGAGCTTCTTCTTCGTACTCCCCAGTGTGATCGCTACTCGGCTCCGTCTTCCTTCTGCCTAGCAGTTTTCCTTGTCCGAATTTAGAGCGGAAAGTGACTGTAGTGCGCACCGTAGTCTGCTCGCTTTTCTTGTCGTCGAGGGAAAGCCCTTCCAGAGTGCCGAGCGGACCCTCGGGCTGACGCTGGTAGAATTGCTTCTCGACCACGCTCAATATCCCAGTCCATTCCATGTTACGAGATTCCGTTTGCATCCAGCCCTCTTTGGCGTCCACAACAGTCGTTTCGAGGATATAGCTCTGGCCGGAATTGTCTGAGCCGCCAATCCCCTTGGGGAGGAGTTTGAGGATTCCCGAGGGAACCTTGGATTTCTTGAGAAGGAGGCGAGTGGTGTGGAGACGCTGAGTCGTCGGATCGACATAACGGTCAATGACATCGGTGGTCAGCACATGGCGAGAATACGGGTTGGGATAGCGAAGGAAGTAGGCCAGCGACACGGCCGGGAAGGAATAGTCGTAGGTGAAGACATTCTCGAAGAATTTCATAATTGCGAATGATGCATACAGAGTGGATCGGATGATTGGAATGAGGAAGTCACACCAACTTGGGGAAGAAAGAGGATGGAACTGGAGCACAGGGTGGCGTTGGGGATGCTGCTTGGTTTAAAGTGAACTGCAGTGCTCGCCTGCTCAATCGCCTTTCTCAGTGGCCGGACGAATCTGCCCGAGCCTCCGACTGGGAAGAATTTCTGTCAGCTTCTGGCCGCTCGCCGCTAAGCCTGTTTGGTAATGCGGGGATGGGCCGGTGCATCATCTGATTGTCTCCCGACTGGCCAATCATCGTGTAGTACTTAGTAGTCCTTCTTGGTTTTCTTCAGGCTACAAAGCACTACTATAGACCAGGACTGCGTGGCAGACAGCAAAGTCTTTGCTGATCCTCGTATGATTATACTTGAGGTATCAATTTTCTGACGTCAGGACAATCACCCTGCTTGTGATAGTAGTAGTATTCAAAAGACGACGGAACTACTAACCAGCCATCCTCCTTAATTTATATATCCGGGTTGTAAGTATATACTGGTAGTAATAGTAAATATCATCACCAACTACTTTACTATTCCAGCAATAGTGGTTAGTAGTACTAGTAGCTGTATAACTTTAAGTATTCAATCACTAACCATAACTACTACTAGCGCCGAGTTGTGATGAAACGGAGGAGCCATGACAGCCAAGCTTTTTGGACCTAGTACCAGTATAATTGATTAGTAGTAACAGGCTAACAGCAGAGTACTTGATTGTACTTAGTACCCACTGCTAGTCACACTCAATTCTATAGCATACTAGTATGAGGGGTAAGTAGTTACTAAGATGGTAGTACTACTACTGTAGTAGTGAGCACCCAGTTCGGACCCCCTAAAGGTAGTAGCAGAAATCAACAGTGCTCTGCCTGTACTATATATGCTGTATCTCATAACAACCTTTCGTCATAGCAGGGTACAGTCGGACTCATACGTGGCCCTGCAATGTAATGACAATAGGTGCGGAGCACTATTTGGCGCTTTTATGCATAAGATGTGTCAACAAGTGTGACACATGTCTGCAAGCTCATACGCCTACATGACCGATAGGGAAATCCTCGCATCTCACACGGTCGGGGCCCGAGATATCCGGGTGGTATCCTCGACTTTATTCGGAATCCTTCTATTGTCTGGCTTAGATAGACGTCAGGCATGTGGCTCGTCGATTCCTCTTAGTACAATCTGACCGCGGATGAAACCTCGGACACCATTGCTGAGCCAGCACTCCTCGCCATCCACTAGGTCAGTAGCTGCAATTGTATCCTCAGCGCAGAATCCCTGTGCTAAAGCATATTGCCTCGTTGTACCCGCATTGCCACCGCTGGAAAGCGGCGGTGTAATCCAAGCTGGCTTTCCCTCCCCATCCGTCGTATCTCGTCGCCTGAAGTATGGTGTTGTAATGCTTCCTTCCATGATCTCACCCGCCAAATTTACCAGAAGAACTTCCGCAGGCTCTACAAAAGAAACTATTCCCGATCGGAGTCGTGCAGCTGTGTAGAAGTCGCGAGCCGTAGTCTTGTGTGTTGTGAAAACGGATGGGGATATGCATTCGGAATCGATGTATACACGCCAGGCAGTGGACTGAAGGTTCGTTTCGGTTGGAGTTAGATAATTCAGCGGATTCATTGACGTCGTCGGGTTGACCTCAACCTCGCAAGTGCCCGTGCTATCGAGGAGAATCCGGAGGCGCCATGGCTTGGTGTTGTCCGGGATGAAGGTGTTAAGAAACTCGACGAACTGATTCGTGTCTTGTTTCAGGAAGGCGAGAGCTTTTTCCCAGCTGAAACATGCCGCTGCATTTCGAAGGCGTTCTTGGTGGTAAGGGAGGAGATAATACGGTGTGGTCAGTGGATCGGGTGTTGTTCTAGCCGCTGCCCGCTTGCCTATCGTTGAAAGAGCAGGATCGTAGCGTAGAGACGATATAATTTTGAAGTCCTGTGGCAGCACTTCCGAGGCCATTTTTTGCCGTCGCGGCAATTGCGACCGAGGGTAGTAGACAAGACACTTGTAAGTATGAGCTAGACAGAGCACCGAGCTGTTAGCAAGTGATAGCCGTGCTGTTGGCACCTCGGCACATTAGACGGTCGCACACTAGAAAAAGGGGGTTTGCGCAATTGAGAAGATTAATTCGCGCCAGCCTGAGCTATGTGAGATGGTCATGATCCAGCACAGAGGACGAGACATTGGTCCCATTTGCCTTGGAATCACGGATGATGATGTTGTGGAGAAAGCAGGAGCTGACGGAGCCCATCCCCTTGCGGCGAGTGTGATTGGCCCAAACCAGCTCGGAAAGCCCGCTGCGTCGCCGGAACCTGAACATCGCAACGCATAACTTTTCAAGCCGCATCTCTCCTCGCTCTCTCCCAACCCCAAGACAAGTTGTCCGCCCTGCCGACAAGCACTTGCTCTGCACTCAGGACCGTCCGTGCTCCCTATCAATTCCCTCCCAGGCCCATTTGCTGTCACGATGCTGACCGAGCTCCCCTTGTAGATTTATAGGAAAAGCGATAAGAAGACGGGTTCCTCTGTCGGGTCATCATGTCAAGCCAGTCGCCATTGCCCCAGCCTACGAAGAACGTCGTTCTCGACACGACTTCTCTTCCCCCATCTTCATCAGCATCAGTTTGGGACCGCATCTCGAAATGGGTGTCGGAAAATAAGGCCCTTGTTTACACCATTGCCGGTGTTGCTGTGGTCGTGACCAGCGCAGGTGTCGTCTACTACCTCTCCGACTCAGGTCGGACTACCCCGGCCCCTTCTACAGAGAAGAAGAAGAGCAAGAATCAGAGAAGAAAGGAGAAGAAGAAGGCAGAAGAAGAGAAGAAGGCCAAGGCTGCCTCCGTTCAAGAGGGTATGTTGAAGAGAACCACACTCTGCCTCTCCCGTCGACAAGCATCCGATTCGGGCTGACGATCTCCTTAGAGCCTGCCGCGAAGAAGACGGAGGAAGCCTCCGAAGAACTCCCAGAAGTTGACGAGGAATCCGTTGCACAGCTGTCGGAAGAGGTAAGTATTTTGCCTTTTACGATGGAAACACCCCCGGGCGCCGATACCGCAAATGCTAATACCGGATTCAAAGACAAGGAAGGCTTACGCAGCCAAGCTCAAGGCTGCTGGAAACAAGGCGTATGGCTCCAAGGACTACAACAATGCCATTGAGCTCTACGGAAAGGCCATTCTCTGCAAGCCCGATCCGGTCTTCTACTCGAACCGTGCCGCCTGCTATAACGTTCTGTCGGAGTGGGAAAAGGTCGTCGAAGATACCAGTGCCGCTCTCGCCATGGACAGTGAGTACGTCAAGGCCCTGAACCGGAGAGCCATTGCATACGAACACCTGGAGAAGTTCAGCGAGGCTCTTCTTGACTTCACCGCCAGCTGCATCATCGACGGCTTCTCCAACGAGATCAGCCGTGTTGCTCTGGAAAGACTCCTGAAGAAGGTTGCCGAGAGGAAAGGAAAGGCCATTATCGAGGCGAAGGGCAAGAAGCTCCCTAGCCCGACCTTTGTTTCGAACTATCTCCAGAGCTTCCGCCCCCAGGCACTGCCCGAAGGCCTCGATGAGTCTGCGGATCTGAGCGACGACTCCGGTAAGGGTCAACTCCGCAAGGGTCTGCTTGCAATGGCCCTGAAGACTGGTGATGGCTACGAGGAGGCTGCTTCTGCCTTTGAGAAGGCTCTGGAGCTCGGAGATTTGGGTGAATACGAAGCCCTTGCTCTTAACCTGAGAGCCACCTTCACCTATCTCGAGGGTAACGCTCAGGCCGCATTGTTGGATCTCAACAAGAGTGTTGAGCTGCAGCCGTCGTTGGTTCAGAGCTACATCAAGCGTGCCAGCTTGCATCTCGAGCTCGGTATGTTAAACGCCCTTGTCGTTTGGTAGATGCTTTGCTAACATGTCCAAAAGGAAACAAGGACGCCGCTGCCGACGACTTCGAGCTCGCCATCACCCACAACAAGGATGACCCCGACATCTACTACCACCGCGCCCAGCTTCACTTCATCCTCGGAGAGTTCGCCGAGGCTGCTAAGGATTACCAGAAATCCATCGACCTCGACCGTACTTTCATCTACTCCCACATTCAGCTTGGTGTTACGCAGTACAAGATGGGCTCCGTTGCGTCCGCCATGGCCACCTTCAGAAGATCCGTGAAGAACTTTGAAGAAGTGCCTGATGTCTACAACTACTACGGTGAACTTCTCCTCGACCAGCAGAACTTCTCGGAGGCAATTGAGAAGTTCGACAAGGCCGTGGAGATGGAGAAGCAGAGCAAGCCTATGGGTATTAACGTCCTGCCCCTGATCAACAAGGCTCTTGCCTTGTTCCAGTGGAAGCACGATTTCCAGGAGGCCGAGAACCTCTGCCAGAAAGCTTTGATCAGTAAGTCTTGCGAACGTTCGCTGTAAAGTGGAGAGATCTTGGAACACTAACCGGCTTGCAGTCGACCCCGAATGCGATATCGCCGTAGGAACGATGGCCCAGCTTCTGCTGCAGCAGGGCAAGGTCTCGCAGGCCCTCAAGTACTTCGAGCGCGCCGCTGAGCTTGCTCGTACCGAGGCGGAGATCATCAATGCCATCTCCTATGCCGAGGCCACCCGCACGCAGCTGGAAGTCCAGGAGAAGTACCCCCAGCTTGCTGCCCGTCTGCAAGGCATGGGTGCTGGCTTTGCCCCCCCTCCCTCTCTGTAAGATTGAGTCCTGACATATCTTCATTTACACCCGTCAAGACGCCAAAAGACGTGTACGACCTAATCTATTTTCCCTCATTCTCTTCTGTCTTGGAATTCCGGTGGTTGAAGCGTTGCAGGCCGTAGCTTATGCCTGGTCTGCTCTGGTAGGTGCATGGGCGCCTGAACCATTCATCTGTGTGTATTTACTATAAGGACTTCTTTTCTTTTCTTTTCTTTTTATGTCTCGATTTATTTGACGTCTGGATCTTTTTATTTTCATTTTGTGCCGATATACTGTTTTATCTCCTATTGCGACCGTGTTTCCATTTTTCTGTTTGCGAGGTGGTTTTTCTCCCCCCTCTCTGTTTGTCTCCAAGCTCTCTCCATTGGTTCTGGGAGGGGTACACTGGGCTCTTTTATCGAGGAAGAAATGCGGGCATGATGAGAGATAAGAGAGGTCTGCGGACCGGAAGATACACATATATTTTCTATCCGGCATGTCGGTTTGGGAAGAGAGGCAAGCACGAGCGATGTATGTATGTACCATAGTATAGGGAAAGCCAAGTGTGGGGATGAATAACTTCAAGTCAAGAAAGAGTTAAAGTAATGGTGACAGGTCGGGTCGAGTGATGGGGGAGATAGATGGCGAGTCACTGGATCATCTACTTAGTATTCAATCTTACCTCTCCTGTACTCCGCCCGACTAAACTAAAAGGTGCTGGTCCACCTGACGGGTATTCCCCCCCACCCGTCAGCCTATCAGCACTCGCTCTCTCGCCCGCATCGGCGTCATCCATCTTGTCCGAACATGTTATCGTTCGACTCATCTACTCCCTATCTGACCCTCATTCAACAGCTTGTCTGCTGAGTGATGCCTCTCCTACTTCTTTCTCCATCTTTATTGTGAGTGAGACAGAGAGAGTCTCAGGCCCTTCCGAGGTGTGTTAAACTACCTCTTTCACTTTTGTTGCGTGAACCAAAACCTGAGTGGTAGTAAGTTAGATACGGCCCCTTCCTATTCTTCTTATCAAATACACTATGAATCAGCGCCCTCTGCCTGATCGCCGTCACACCCTTCCCTGCAGGCAATATCTGGGGACTGTCTAGGCTGCCTCTGACATTCACTGCTGGGACTAACACTTTGGTACGCTTTCATAGCCAGTGACTTTTCTTCTACGTTTCCCGGGTGCCTGACAGCGACCGCCCATTGATTGACCTCAGGCTGATCCCATCGGGTCGGTCGTATGCTCCTGCCCCTCCTACCCAAAGCTTCCTTGGGTTTCCCCGTTGGCCGCCTCGTCAGCCTGCTGTAAACACCTCATCACTTCCTTGCCTTTCCCCTCTCGATATTATCGTGGTCTTCATCTACCTTCAAAGGCTACCCTCAGATCCGTTTTCCATTCTCTGCCGTCCTGTTGGTTGATGTTGATGCTGAGTAGGTAAGCGCTCAGGCAGCCTTTCAGGTCTCTAGCATCCGGTCTTGCCGTTCAAGCGCTGAGGAGTCTGGGATATAAGATACTGATACCTTGGTTCGATCCAGACTGCACTGCACGTCTAAATAACTGTCGCTCTATCCCTCTGTGCTGACGGCACTACCACTTATCACCATGCCTGCCACACAGGGTAAGTGTCTGCTCTGCACTAGCCTATACGCACCGAAGCCAAATCGAACTAATACCTGTTCTTCGGGCAGCTATTGTGACTCTCCGCCCTTTGTCCGTATCCGATGATTTGCCATATCGATCCCTAGAGTTCACTTCTACCAATAACCAAGTCAACATTGGTCGGGCTTCTAAGCGTGAATCAAAGAATCTTATCCCCGCCAGAAACAATGGTTTATTTGAATCGAGGGTCATGTCACGCAACCATGCCAAGCTATGGGTGTGCTTCGACGAGCAGGTATGTTCTTCTATATGGCTATCATCTCAGCTACAGGTAGTTGGGCTTCAGGCCAAAACAGGCTGAAATTTGTTTAGCTCGTCTACATTCGTGACGGTGGGTCGATGCATGGTACCTGGATAAATGGGAAGAAAATCCCAACAGAGGAGGACTCTGTCATCAAACATGATGACGTGGTCACCTTTGGCTCCACAGTGTATCGTGGCTCTGGTGAGTCTTGCCCGACTACTGAGAAAGGTACAGATGGGTTATTGACGTGTCATATAAGATACCTTCCCTCCACTAAAAGTTCGTTGTGAATTCGAATGGCCTGACCCTTTGTATGCCCCATGTGTTCCGCCTAGTTTGAGCAGTGCTGACACCATGGACAGCCAAAGAACCGCCCTTGCAACCAATACCTTTTGTGTTCCTGACGATGATGACAGTGATGCAAAAGAAGATTCCGTTCCTATGGTGGTTGCATCCGACAGTGCTTCCGAGATTGACAACTCCACCCCCGATTCAGATTCAGACGACCAATCCGTCATGGAGGTTTCGTCGCCTTTGACGTCCCCTCTGAAGAGGGACGACGCAAGAAATTCCCACGTGGGTGCCTGCTCAGATACAGATCAAGTGGGTAGACATGATGGCCAGCAAGGATCCCAATTGAGCCCTATTGATCTCGAGCATGGACAACATGAACAGCCTCTGGTAACTCCCCGGATGACCCCACCCTCCGTCATAGATCCTATCGACGATCCAAGTAACACGGCTCATGATTTTGATGCTTTCATCCAGGAGGCGGACAGTGCGTCTGCAATGAGTACCTCTGACGACGAGGATTCCAGCTGGGGCGAAGATGACCATGCTGGTTCGGATGACGACGAAGATGACGAGGTTGATTCCCAGTCTTCGTTCAGATCCCATGCAGAACAGTCTCATGAAGATGAGGAGTCTGTGAGATCGAGCAGCCTTCATGTCCTGGGGATTCGCGACTTGATAGCATCAGAGGCGAGCTATGCTGTGGAGGAAACAAATGCCCGCTTGCCATCTGGAAATGATACTTCCAGGCCCGAATTCAACGATCGACATGGGGAGGATATGGCATGTGACGCTGAGACGTGTGAGCCGGAGTTGCTCGCCGTTAGGAATTCCACATCAGATCTGCGTTCTCAGAGCACTGGCCCTTCCAGAATAATTTTGACCGAAGCTCCACCGCCGCCAATCTTATTGCAGCCAACTCTGTCATCTCCGTATGGAAAGACAGTCGATCGTTCGCTACCTAGCTACCAGAATAACCCTCCAATGATGCACATGGACTGGTGGAATCCACGAACCACTGCAAACACTTCATACTCCCTGCATATCCCCCAAACTCCGCAAGTGCCTTACGCTGACGGACCCTTTGTCAACAACGAGTCGTTCCTGCTTGGTGAGACTGATCCTGCTTGTAACCGTGGTAATGATTCAGTCATTGCGTCTATGGCTACCCCTGGAATTATAAGCCAGGAAGCAGCTTCGAGTGACGGACAAGAAATCCAGGAGACACCCATGCCTCAGAAACAGCCAGATGCCATTCCAACACCATTGCCACAGATGCAAAGGTCCGAGACAGGATTAGATAGCGTTCCCGCAAACAAGCCACTGAAAAGGAAGGCGGAGGAGATTGATGGCCCGTCTGGGAGTTCCGAGCTAGACGTTGCTACTTATCATCGAGACGGGGTTGACTCAGCTGTGACAAGCGATAGCCAATCGTCTGACCAAGAGACTTGCTATCCGGATGCTCAGCCACAGATGCCAACGGACCAACAGGAAATTACATCCCAGTTGGCAGACTTAGACAGTGCGAACGAGCTGCTGTCAGTTGACGACCCCATTAATGATGCCGAGACGACTGCACCTCCTACAAAGCGAGCAAAGACTTCTAGTGCGGGGAGGTTTGCCAGCCATGCTGCAAGTGCTGCGTTGGGTGTAGCCATCGGTGCTTTCGGTACTATCGCTGCGTTGGCGTCGCTCCCCCCAGATTACTTTCAGTAAAGAACAGGAGTTGACCCATAATTGGCCATTCGCTTTGGAAACCATGCGCTTCTGCTATGAAACACGGTGCTTATGAACCACACCGAGTACGTGGTGCTATCGGCGTTCTCTTCTCATACCTTTCCGAATTGGGATATGGCGGGTGCTGCTTCTCTGTCTCTTTTCTTTTTCTTTCTATCTATCTTTCTTTCACTTTTCCTATGTTTGGTATGGGCGTATTTCTCGCCGTTTTCTTATCTTCCTGCTCTAATGGGCTTCTTCAGAACCGAGGTACAACCAGTCAGCCCCCGCAAACCTGGATGTAATTATTGTTCTAGCAAATAATACAGCCAGTTCTTCCGATGGCACACTAGTCGGTGTTGTTCCGGGGTGGATGAGACGGGCCAATGTAACCACGGCCGCAAGGCAGGCTCTTCTCGCTCTCATGATCGGTGGGCCGGCTTTTAGTTATGACCGGGGGGTCATACTGGTTCTTTCTGCTGAGCGGAGCCCATTGGCCCATTGGCTTGGTGACCGCCATGAAGTCGACCATGACCACCACGTCGGCGCCTCTATCAAGGCTTCTCGTTCGTTACTTTCTCCTTCTCTCCCTCTCTCTTTCTTTCCGTCTCTGCATTTTCCTCTTGATCCTGATCTGCCGTAGAGGAGCTGCCACCGCTTCTTCTTCCCCACCTTCCCTCCCCTCCTTTACTTCCCCTCATTGTCGGGGTCGTCGTGCACCCAGAGTAGAACTTATCATTGAAGGGCAATAACTAGGTTGAAGGTGCCCAACCGTTCGGCCGGCCAAGTTGCCGTACGTCACTCCCCTTCCTCCTCCCAGCTTTGCTTTTCTCTGTACGACAAACGGTGCCTCCAGCAGCAGTTCCACTCCGTCAAGCGCGCGAGTCGCATCCAGTTTCCCTCGGTAGTGTCCCTGTCCCGTGGCCTTGCCTTGAGTTCAAGGTTGGAACTCCTTCGCCTACCCTGCTTTTGCTTTTTCTCCTTCCAGGGATCTCTATCCCGGCCAGCACTTTTCCTGTGAGTCGGGCAGGTTAACAATGGCCACGATTATGTGCCCTAATTAAATTCCAAGCTGGGTCCTCAGTCGTGCGCGTGATGCCTGCCGGATACTTGCAGCTCACCGACCATTGATCTGACTGAGACCCGACTTTGCCGTCCTCCACTCCTACCTTACCTGTAAGCCACCCACCCTTGCATATTTTCTTCTTTCTGGTTTTCCTTTTGTTTCTTTTCTTTGTCCACAAGTTTCTTCTGTTTCCCTGGCTTGTGGGATCCACCCGTGACCGAGACGGAAATGGACTACATGGATGGCATTGTCACTGGGTTTCTGAGCCATCCTTCGCCTCGGTCTAGGATCCCTGAGTAAGGGCAGATTGGTCCCTTCAAGACCACTAGGGCTCAAGTAGGTGTTCCGTACTCCGTACCTGCGGCAGGAGCATCAGAGTCAAGCAAGTTTCCCGCCATGAACTGCGTGAGTTCCAACCGCAGTTCGAATCCCATAATATGGACAGGGATTCTTATAACATGTGACCAATCCGCAGACGCAGGCCACTCAAAGAACCTCCAGGATCTTCGGCCATTGGTCCAGGCAAGAAAATTTCCTTTGCCTTTTAATGAGGACGACGCAAGATTAATGTCCCAAAAGCCGAGCAATCATCGCTGCACTGCGGTTGCGATGGAATCGCCATCTCCCTTTCCTTTCCCCCCTTAAGAAGTGAGAACCGGATACCTGCAGAAAAATTCGGAATGGACTGCCACTTGCGAGGCGCGGAAATTACGGCCTGCAAAAATTACTATCTGATCGTCCAGTAATCTGCTATTCTCATTTGTTCCCTCTCCCCGTAATTATTCCTTCTCATTTTATTTTTATATTTTATTTTATTTTATTTTTCTATCTAATTATTTTCTTTTTCTTTCTTTCGAGGGCGCTTGTCCGCGTGTCCTCGTGCCCCTGCGGTTTCATGGCTCCCGTCACACTGTGCCCATTGTTCACAGGCACGCATGAATAAACCTCCTCTTCCTTCACTCTTCGCGGGTTTGACTCGCTATTTCTTCTTTGCCTTCCTCAGTCTCCATTTGCCCTATACTTCAGGGATAAGAAGACAGCTTCTAGCGCATGGGCAGTGGCGCTGCCGCTAAATTGGCCTAAACGCCGCACGACCGTTGCTCCATCGCTTGCGGGCACATTGGAAGGCCCACGGAGTATTCCGCCTAGAGTATAAGCTGAGGCGTAGCTTACAGGGCCACAGAGTTAGGCAGAAAGTGTCAAGACTATCCGAAGCCTATTCATGTGCCATGAAATGATTGGGTGAACAGCCCGGCTGAGACGCAGCTTCGTGCATGGAACACGCTACGACTATACCAACATATAGGGAGAAGCCCAGGGTGAACTCAAGGCATACGGTATTGACGAACGTCGATGACTCTGTATGGCTGCTAGTTCAGTGTCACTACGACCACAACACATCGCTGGAACAAAATTCCGCGTTATCAGGATATGTTGCCAGCCATGATCGTGTAAGTGCGTGTCGCACTGCGCTTATCCGTTATGGGAGGTCAGCGAAAGGCTTAAAGGGCCACGTCGCATTGAAAGCAGTTGACCTGGGATGCTTGCCGAGCTTAGCGATTCTTGTTAGTCGCGTAACACAATTCTCCGTGGCTGCCATGCTTCTGGGTCTTGTATCCCGCCGTATAACATTTCCGGCTTCTGCTTGGTCACATACTCGAGCCTGAACCGACGTCTGTATTTTCGACTAAGCGCACCATGCAGCCGTAATCACCTATTCAGTCGCCCAATCAATGATAATCGAGATACATCATTGTCCGATACGCTTGGGCAAGTCGTGCATCTAGGCACCTGGTCTGGTTGGCAACGGCCGGCACAACGCCCATAGACTGGACCCGGCCCTATGGATCAAGATTGCAGGAAAGGCTCCACTGGGGCGCGGAGTCTTTCCTTAAAGGAATCGGAGGTGTTGACACGCCCGACAGGCACATTCTGCATCTCCTCAGGTGGCCTGGGGCTGTCTCTGCGGCCCCTTCATGATCCTGGGACCATGCCGCACCGTCCGGTCTCATGTTATTGGTGCGGCATATCGAAAATAAAAAATCTCTGGATGTGACTGAGTCTTCGTGCCTTGAATTTTGCTCGGAAGATGAAATCTCGACAGATAATTTGACGTTGCTGATACGAAGTGGTCTTGACTCGAGAGCTGGTAGCACACATCGATGACCGAATGATTCTTACAGTTCCCGTCCCCCGCGAGCTTGCCCTTGGCACTAAGCAGGGAGCGGGATGATTTGACTGAAGCAATTCGCCTTTGCTTTTTTCTTTCTCATTACCTTCCTATCCGGGAATCTTCGCCGATTCTATGTCTCATCTTGATGATTGATAAGCCCCGTGGCCCCCCTACAAATACTGTGTTTGGTCATGGGAAGTAGCATATCCGACTCTTGATTCTTTCTCTCTGTCCGATCAAAGTATCAACCCTCTCTAAGGTTGTGGAACGAGTTTCTGAGCATAGCCTATTCTTGGACTACATATTACCATCTCGGCCTCGTTCCTAAAGATATGTCTCATCAAGCCGGACTAATGTATCAACGAGACCCGGGGCATACCTCCTGCATTGGGGGGCGGACAGTGGTGACATGCCGAAGCTGTGCGGGAAACGCACCACGGTCAGTCGACGCATCCAATCATTCTTGGATCGTGTTGCCAATGCTAATCGGGATCAGAAACTCCGTTTGTAGTAGCTGCAAGGGCCGTGGGTTTAATGTCTTCATATGTCCTCACTGCAATCCGGCCGCTGCGGCGGCAGCGTTCAAGGGCTCTGCTGGATCATCACAAGGCACCACACCGAATTCATCTGTCCCTGCTTCGCCGTCATCTCTGAGCAGGAGCTCGTCCACCTTATCCTCTGATACCAGGCCTATTGGGAATCGAAGGCGGTCGGGGGACAGCGACGAGAGCTCTTCAGGCGGACACGTCGGAGCAGGAACTAATTCACCACGGACGGTATAGAGGATTCTTAGGGACGTCGGAAAAAGGGCGCTGGTCGCCCGTGTGCCCAGTTGGCTTTCGGACACTCTTTTGACTGCTTACATGTGTTGCGCTATCGTACCCTTTTTGATTTATGAAGGACCATAAGGACGGGTTTGGCGAAGTGCAGGCGCATCAGGACATAGAGGGAAGCATGGCCTTCCATGCAGGAAGCCTGTTGAGGATTTTTTGATTGCGCACCATGTCATGATAGTCCATCGTCGTCGCACTTCGTTTCGATGTACTTACGGTTTCACGCCAGATACCAATAGGGAAATGAATTGCCAGATGCTTGGATGGAGTGACGTCAGCTCCCGGGGTGAGTTCTCCCGAGCTTCTCTCCATGTTGGATTCAGGACCATTGGTTTGCCTCGGATGCGAAGAAGTGCAAGGGTCATTTCATTCGCCCCCTCCACTCTCCTCTTGAATAATCTAAGGAACCATTTTCGCTACGTCTCGTCACTCCCACCCCCGGATATCCCGACCTCCACCCATCCCACGGCATATCCGACAGCCGGCAGTGAGAGTCTGGAGTTTGGGGCAAGACGCGAGGACGATCACTCCACCTCAGGTTCCGAATGCTGTTTCCCCCAAAAACCTATATGTAGGAACCATGACTGCCCCTGAACTCAAAATCTGCTTGTCCTTTCCTTACTCATTAAGTAACGCTCTGATATTCCTACAACATGGCCTTGTCTTTCACTGAAAAGCCCCCGCAGGGGAGGGTTCCTTATGCGATCCCGCAATTGGAGGGTGAACGCATCACGATTCCGGGGAGCAAAGGAGCCTTTCGTATCCTGGCTTCCTCTAAGCAGACCAATGGCCTCATGGCTGTCTTTCAGAGCGGGGCTGTCCTTTCAGACGCCCCGGGCTTTCACTATCACAACCACGCCCACGATGTCTTCCTGGTGACCAAGGGCTTCTTGAAATTATGGAATGGAGACAAATGTCGGATAATGGGGCCTGGAGATTTCGCTTATGTCCCTCCTGTATGTCAGATGCTATTTGATATGCTGCATTTCCTGTCCTCCCTTTCTTCGCTCCGACTGACTCTTCAATGTCTACTACAGACTGTGGTTCATAACCCGGAACTACTGGGACCACATACCGAGACCTACGGTGTCGTCACTCCCGGCGACTGGGTCGACTTCTTCCGCTACGTGTCCGAGCCCTATGAGGGTATTCTGGTTCCCGAGAACGACGATCGCGACCTCAAGGCTCTGTTAATACCCAAAGTGATGGCTGCGAAGCAGGACTTTGACGTCGTGTTCCAACCACACTACCAACCTCCTGCCCTAGGGGAGTGGAGTGCAGATGAGGAGAAGCTCCCCGAGTCGTCACAACCATATTTCCTGCGCGCCAACACGGGTCCCAAATGGATGCTGGGAGGTGTCATGTCCCGACCATTTATCACCACCCGTCAGAGTCAGGGTGTCTGCGCTATTTCCAGCATTGAATCCTCCAAGACATACGGCGAAACTCTACTTTCTAAATTTTTGACCTTCCAGTCGGTAGATCACTGTCTATGTGTTCAGGAGGGGACATTGACCGTCCAGCTGAAGGATGGCCCCGAGTCAACTTTCCGCGAAGGAGAGACAGTTGTGATCCCGGCCGGTCAGGCGTTCGCTCTAAGATTTGCCAGTCGGTATGTGCGGGTCTGGTCATTTACCGATGGCGATGGCATTGAGACTTTGATCCATCGGTTGGGCACATCATTCGAAGGTGCTGTCCTACCTGACCAAGTGCCAGAGTGGAACCCGGCGGAGGTTGGGTCTGTGGCGTCCGAGTTGAATGTGACCATTGAACTCTAGAGGGGAGAGAAGGGGGAAGGGGGAAGGGGGAAAGGGTGGATGACGTGGATGCATGAACTTAGCGTGGCTCAATTGAGCCTTGTGACGACTATTGGAACTGGAACTATTAGCGATACCTGTCATGCTCTACCTTATTTGTATTAGTTAGTTAGAAAAGTGGAAAAGAATCGTATCCATTTCATTTAATTTATTTTTTCTTTCTGCACCCCGCGGGGACCCCGCAGAGGGTTCCCACGTGATGCTCACGGTCGGAAATCCCGGCCGAGTCTCCCTTTCCAACTTCATCCTTTTTGCGATTAACTTCGGCCTCTACTACGATCGACTACTTCCTCCTTATCTTCAATTTGCCTCCACTCTTGTCCTTATAGTTCGTTTCGGATACATACCCCAGTTTTCCCTATGTCGTCTACCTTCGTCTAGATGGATGATGGATGAGTCGCCCCCCATTCACACCGCGGGTGATGATTCTCTTCCCCCGCCGCGGGCCAAACGCCCTCGCGCTGCACAAGCATGCGACCGCTGCAGGGCCAAGAAGTACAAATGCGACGAGCAGTATCCCTGCGCGCATTGTAAAAGTATGCCGTCTATCGCGATAAGCTGTCCCATCCTGAACTAACCTTTTTTCTAGAAAGCCAACTCAATTGCGTCTATCAGGGGAATTACCGTCAACGCGAAAGCAGCAGGTCTGCGCGGTATGTATATTATCATTCGTCTACATAGTAGCTAGCTATTTCGTGTCTTGGTATTTGCTGACACATCAGACAGATATGTCGCTGATCTAGAGCGCAAAGTAGACGAGCTTACGGCTCGACTAAGGTTGGCGGAGGCGGAAGTTACGTCCCAGCATTCCTCACGGTCTCAGAAAGTAGTAGTGCAACCAAACTCGGGACCCAAGCAAGCTCCTCCTCCCCCAGTGGGCGTTGAGGCGACTCCATTGTCGCTGCCTCGTGCTGCATCCACGCCGAGAGACGATGCGCCTTTCATTTACGAACACCATGACGAAGCTGGGGAGTCGGTAGGGGATGAAATCAGCGAACTGAACCACCACACCAATGGTATTGAATTTCACGGCAGCACCTCTTCAACGGCTCTCCTCGGTCATCTCCAAAAGGCACGGGAGCCGCAACGCTCTTTGGAGCGTCGGGACGCACGTCTCGAGGATCCGGGATATTCGATCGTCTCGACGCTACATAACTCCAGCTTTTCACCCTCGGGTACGGGCTCCGCCCAGCCCTTGACCTTACGGGAACAGAATTATTACTTTGAGCAGGCTCATGCATTCATCAATGGCTATTTCGAGAATATTCATTTCATTCATCCTCTAATTGATAAGGAGGACTTTTTGCTTCGGGCGCACAGTCTCTGGTTCAATCGTGGCGTTCAGCCGGAGCCGAGTTTTGTTGCCTTGTATCTGAGTATCCTGTCGTTCGGGGCCCTGGTGCGGGTCTGGGATGAGGACAGGCTGGGTGGACTGACCCGGTTTGAATGGAGTAGGAAGTTGTTTGGGGAAGCTCAGATGTACCTCAACTACCTGCAGTTCTCGAATACTCTGGATACGGTGCAGTGTCTATACCTTATGGTATGAGATCTTTTCTTCCTGGACGAAATATGGGCTGACCTTGTCTAGGCTAAAATTTGTCAGAACGAGCTGAATCCGAACTGTAGGTGAACTACTCAGCTACTTGCTTTTGCGACTGATAAGCTGACATGGCTTAGTGGCGTACATGTACCTGGGACTGGCTATCCGTACATGTCTAGCTGCTGGGTTCAATCGTGAAGTGCGCAGCTCGACAGAGCAACGCTCGGAATGGATTTCAAAGACGTGGTGGTAAGTTCGCGTCTTACTTGGATAGAGCTCACGCTAACCCTGGCAGGGGACTGTTCTCTTTGGAGATGTAAGTCTTTCTGGACATCCGGTTCAGTCATGATCCTAACCACACCAGTGAAATGAGCTTTTCGGTAGGCCGTCCGGATACTCTAGGCATGGATGAGTACCACAACAGGGCGCTGCCTGAGAGAGACGACTCTGAGTACGCTGTTATCCCATGGATGGTGGATTTTGCATACATCATCCGCAAGGTGTCTGTGCAGATATACCATTCGCGTATCACGTTACAAGAGAAGCTGCATCTCGCACTCCAAATTGAAAATGAGCTAGACCGATGGATGGCGAGACTGCCGGACAGGATCAAACCAGACATTGTTCAACGAGCAACAGGAGGAGCGTTGAGAGATCCGAAGTGGGCACGAAGGCAACGCTTAGTGCTCGGTATTCGTAAGGGACCCCCGCCCCTGCACGTCCTCATTATTTGTTTCAGGCACAGCTACTAAGCCTTCCCGACCAGGCTACTACAACGTGAAGATGCTCCTGTTCCGACCATTCCTCAGCTACTTCACACGCAAATTACGACATACCCCTATGGAACTAGAAGAAACGATCGCCAAATGCCTCGACGCAGCAATGAAAACCATCCAAGTCATTTACGATATCTACCGAATTCACACATTCTTCCGCTGCTGGTACGCCTGCCTTATACCTCTTCCTATACCCTCCCATCCATACCCCGTTTAACCCAAAATTAGGTGGTACAACACCACATATGTCATGTTCGCCACGTCCACCCTCCTCCTCCCCATGTCCAAACTAGGCATGTGCGCCGAAACCATCCCGCTCCGCCGCTCCGTCGAAATGGCCGTCGAGATCCTCGAAGCAATGGACGAATCCGTGGTGGCGCGTAAATCCGTCGAAATTATCAAACACTATCTGCGAGAATTCCGGCCCATCGATGTTCAATCTGCTACCACACCATCCAGTAGCAACGATGGAACCAAAATTGCCGACTTTACTACTGACCCAGGAGCTGCTGCTGCTGCTGCATCTGCTTCGGGTACTGCCCAGACAGGGTTTGATATTCCGGTATGTTGTTTCAATCTTTCAACCCACTTCATGTACAAATGGAGAAACAGAATTGCTAATACAGGGGGTGTAGGAATGGGCATATGGCTTCGGCTTCCCGGATTGTTCCTTCGAAGGGATCGCTAGACTGTTCGATGATTTGGGAGGGTTGCCGATGTTGGATGGGTGACCATGTATTACTACTATATCTTACTATGTGCTATGCAATTCAATCGGTGGGTATTGGGGACTTAGGGGTTTGTATAGTGGGGTTGACTTTGTATATAGCTAGTCGGTGGAATTGATAGATAACTTCATGCTCTACTGTAGATATCTAGACCGGTGATAACCTACGGATACTACTGTGCTAAAAGCGTTCAGTTCATGCAATATAAACAAGACGAAAAGTGAACTTCCGTCTTGGTCACTCTGCTCTACTCAACCAATAAAATCGAGACATAATAGTAATTCCACACCCTATACTGTATCTATACCCAACTAAAACTACTATTCTATAGATGCGAAGTAACCCCCTTCCTCTTACTACCACTACCACCACCACCAAACAACCCCGGATTCTGCTCCACCACGTTCTCCACCTCCTTAATCGCATCGTATCCATAAAGCCACGGTTGTACTTCAGGACACGTCCTACACATCATCGTATTAGCATATGCTTACTTTCTAAAAACCCCCTACTTCTACTTCCCAAACCAGAAGAAGATGGGGTGGGGGAGGAATTAGTAATAATACGTACCACCGACTCGGAAAAGCCCCCTTGAGCTCCTTCCCCAGCTGAGAAAGGAACAGCTGGTCTCGTTTCTCTTGTTCGGGGCCGTCGTGCATGTGGAAGTCGTTTCTCTGTTTGTTGTAAAAATAACCGCTGGTTAGTATATTTGTGCTACCCTTGTATGTGGCCGACTAACCTGCTTGA